ATCAGACAATGATATTGGAGAAAGAATACAATGAAACTTCTTATATCACTCGACAAAAACGCTGGGAAATTTCCTATCGATTGCATCTTAGTGAAAGGCAGGTAAGCGACTATTTTGACTGGGCACAAACTGTTAAGCACATCACGTTTCGCCCGCCAGCCGCACTCGATACAAAGATTCCGTTTTAGTGCTATACTATGTACATACAATAAACTATCATTTGCGTATTGTGTTACAATGTCATGGGTGCTTTGATATTTATGCTGGTTGTGGCTCCAGTGTTTTGAAAAGTTGTGACTGTTCTTCTTGGAGTTGGTGGTGATTGAGGACTGAAGTCCTTAAACTTCAGGGTTCAAACGTCTTTACTGCTGCCCGTCTAAGGTTACATCATTAATTCCATCACGTGTGTTCAAACATCATCGTTTGAACGTTTGTTAGTACGGCGCCTTACTCCCTCAGATCAATTATAATTCACAGGAAGGGATGGAAACAAAGTGAAGGAAGCGTAGTCATATCTAATTGTCATTTTCGAACCCAATTACATTAACTATTAACTTATTTGAGCACACTTTCTGCATTCCGAAATCAGGTTGTGAAAAACATACGAGCAATTAACTCACATACAACCAAATGTTTTCTTCTTATTTTTCGAATTTTCTTAACCAGGTAAAGGTGTGGTTTCAAAATCGGCGAATGAAGAGCAAAAAGCTTCACATTCGAGCAATGAGACATTCATATGAAAAAGAAAATGACATGCTTAAACCGGATATCAAAGGCCACGTGACAACCGAAAGACAAGTGGATGCGGACGAGCGGACCCAAACAACAGAACCATATCATCGAGCCCCATTTCTCTTGGTAGAAGGTGTACCAAATGATCAGTGCATTCTCACATCCCCTAACACCCCGACCGGCGCGTTTGTCAACTAACTCAGGCGCAATGCAATGACCAAAAAACATTCCATTTGTAAAAATAATTTCAAGGGATTTTAATTTTGTTTTGGTACCCAATTCAAAGCGAAACAATGAGCAAAGGCTACGCCTTTTCATATCTCATTACCCCAAAGTTTAAACTGAATTTGAACAAAATGAACTCGTCATTTTTTGTTATAATTTGCCACTTAGTTCCTATTTGGAGTCTTGTGGAGGGGAATTTGCGCTCTTGATCAATCCCATTGGTCCATGAGCCATAAGCAATGCAATCTTTCTTGCTGATGGAAATACTATTTTCAATCTGTTTTACTGAAGACAAATGCTTTTCGTTCATTCTACTAGCAATGAAAATCTTAAAGAATGAGACCCGTTTACCTGTCCGTAGATGCCACTGGGTTGAAAGCATGCATATATTCAATCTTTACTTGTGAACAAACTGCATCTTTTCCCTGAAAAGATGAAACTTCAAGAATACTTATTCGCCTTATTTCTGAACATGGATCGTTAGTTTCTTGCTCATAGTTTCACTACTATCTTCTTTTACCACCGCGTTTCACATCTGTCAGCCTGTCTTGATGACTGTCATTAGCACTGACCGACAGAATCGTTGAGACCAACAATGGGTGAACCTCATCAGCCGCCTTCAAAGTGGTTTCAAATGGCAGCATTCAACTTGCGTTTGTTACGAGGACCGGGAAACTATACCCCATGTGCAAATAACCCGTTTTGTTTTGCTTTCTTTGACTTCTACTGGAGCGGTTGTACTCAAAATACCACGAATCGTGAAAATCTTCGAGTGAATCTGCTTCAAATCCTCCTGATGTATGATAAATTTTAGTGAATACAACTTTATTTCGCACACAGTTAATTGTTTCATATTTGCATCGTACTATCTAGGCAATTGTAAACACATGTATCTCATCGATAAGTAAATGGTGGAAGTTTGCTGTTTGTATTTAGGGATATATGCGCAGTGGGCATTAGGCATCACTCAAGTAGTGGTCGTACGATTTGTAATCTATCAAAAGATATCGGGCAGTTGTTATTGATGGCTGGAGTCAACATCTTAAAACATTTTGATGAGAAGGATCATTACCAACAGCAGCATAAGTGGACAAGCCCCAGTGAACATGAGAAAATAGGCTTCGGGTTCACTCTTCCGATGCATTACTCGCAGCTTTCCACTTAAAACTCCTGTAGGAATTCATTTGTACATCTCACCTCGATATCCCCAAAATCAGCATATGCAAGGGCTTCCACCTATGCTATACACACACACTATATCACGAGTAATCTCGATAATCGGATGAGTGGACAAACAACTACGTAAATGTGGTGAACCTGATTTCCGGTCTTATGATGAGATCGTTTCTAGTAATCTGTGATTTCATTTTATTTTCCCCAGAAAATTTTATTCCCAAGTAGTGATATATATTCAGATGTATGGTATCAATACCAATCACTAAAACTGAGTTTGCTCTCCACTCTACACGCTGCATTTGGATAGTATTAGTAGAAATAAGACGATCAGACAATGCATTTATACTTTCATTCATGGAAGTTGGATGGTTAAGTGGTTCAATCTTTCGTATAGTTGCAGATTGAACGAATCGATGGTTGGAGCACTAACAACGTGGGATGGAAGAGAGTACCATGTAGCATGTACTCTAACACTGAAGGAATAAAGTGGACAATCTGACCGACTCTTCTGAAGCGTTACCTTAAACTGATGTATGTCCCCTGGGGTGCTCATTACTGGATAGTCTCAACAGAGTGCTACACGAGTATATGCATTAATACAGTGTTTGAAACATGAAGGTCAAATCGACTCGGATACGGCCGTGCCGAAAGGGGCAGAGTCTTGGTATTCGCAACCACGCAACATAGATTTAGGGTTGTGATCCTTTAACCATGTTGGTTACTGATCTCTACGGACGCTGGAGCACATTTTTGTTACCTCTTAACCCTGGGATTCAAAATGTGGATGGTTCACTCGGTTTGCGATTGAATGCATGCTGATAGCATACGGGAAAATGCCTTTATTTCAAACGCCACAGAAATACGTTTAACTGATCCAACTTACTTTAGATCTATTGATGATACCTCCACACAACATGTGATGCATCTTAAACAATTCCGAAAAATATAATCAGATCCTTTTCGTTTGTGACACGTTGTAATGGCTGATCTACGTAATGATACAACTTTAAATTTTGTAACCTCCATTTTGACATTATTAATGTTAGATATTCGTTGAGCTGCATAGTGTGCACTGTTGTGTTAAATACTGTTCAGAACGGTTTCTGACTGTTCTTGTTTTGTTCTCGTCAGTAAAACGCGTCCCCAAGAACTTCTGGTAAACCGTTTATAAATGCTAGGAAAACTTGGAGATCAAATACAGAACTCTGTAATACGCAACAGAGAATATTCATCGATCTCATCCTGACGAGGTGAGTTGTTGAAAAAGTTCCTCTATTCGATCAATTAAAGTAAAGTGACTAATTTTCTATTGATCTTGACGGACAGATTTCCAGTAAACATCAGGTTCAGTTATCATCACAGCGAAAAAGTAAAATACAGCGTCCCAAACTCAAGAGGAAGGTGGTATAGAAATGTGAAAATTAATATCGTTTACCTAGGATTTTTAAAGTTGTTTCTGATGGATGCTTTCTCTACCGGAAATCTTGAAAGACATAGAATAACAGACAAGCAAGCGGTAGGCTGTGGTCCGAGTATGCACAAGTTTACAACGGCACCTAGTTACCGAACTGGATGCACATTGGGTAATTTCTGGGTCTAGTGAGTGATTGATATATAATATAATATTGCTGAAGAAGTTTTCGCAAGAGGTAAAATGTTCGTCGCTGATGGAGTTGAGCTAGTGCAAATAGAAAAATACCACCAGGGCTTGAAATAATTTCTACAGACAGACGTATAATTGCATAGATTTAGGTCTTACACCGACAACTAAAACCAGGAAGTAATAAAAGAGGTAAGTGATAATAAAAGAATATACAAAGAGGGATAGGCAAGTACACTGGGACTTTAGGAGATCGCAAGCGATAAATAAAGAAGCACAATCTTTGAATCCTTTTAAAAGTCTGTCTGAGATGCTAAGTTCAAGTGAGATTTTGGCGGTTACTAACACCAAAGTATTGTGGATAATGTACTAAGGGTAGAGAGCGGTTGCCAAAATGGAGAATAAAGCAGTTTTATTAGAACGAATGGAAAAGTTCTCCGTTAGCTACTGAAAGGGTAACATTTTGAGGCTTTGATAGATAATTTGGAATACAAAGATCATTGGGATTAAGGAAGATAAAGTTTGAAGCTGGGAGAAACGGAAATCACCTTGGAATTCAGAATCTCTGAAGATGTCATCAACCTTCTTTATAAGAATATAATCTGGGCCAGTGGATAGGTGTCCAATAAAGAAAGATAAAAGAAACGGGGACAGTATTGCTCCTTTAAGCACCCCTGAATTGACCGTTAGCAATTCAAGGAGAAGCTCTCGAATGTCGTTTTCTCAGTAGTATTTTGTGGTTCACTTGATCTGAGTTGAAGAAGTCCGAATGGACCACATGTACTGTCTCCTCCACGTCTTCTGTTCCTTTTCACTCATTTATTGCCAGTAACAGATTAGTGGCGTTTGATCATTTTGGTCTAAACTTGTGTTTATTTGGTGACAGAAAAATAAATTTATTGAAAATTTCATCAGGAAGGCAGTAGCAACTGATTTCATTACTTCTGACAGAGCATGCATAAGTGTGCTTGGAGGGTGATTCACAGAATCACTCTAACAGTCAGCTTTTTAAATGTGTGAAATAACACAGTGTCTCTAACACTGGCAAACTTGTCAAACATTCCTTTGTGTTAATTAGTTATTATTTCAGATATAAGACTTGACAAGGTCCAAGTTTACGGATGTTTGTTGTCTTTGACCGGCGATGAATTCCTATGCATTGCCAAGATTTGACTGTAGCCATTTTGCTCACCAACCTGACAGGTGACAAGAGATGTGGAAGCTCAAACCTGACTTTTTTATCTGCGGCAAAGGCTTCATCAAACTGTTTTCTTCTTTAGGAATGTAGCTACTTAAAAAATAGTGCTGATAATGCCTCCGATCTGCTTCGGTTACGATATTCCATATTTCAAACTTCCGGGGGAGCTTGTTTAATTATGTAGGAGGTCAAGATTAAAAACAAACCCATAAACCAGGGTTAATTGTTACCACCGTTTATCCTCTCTGACAAAGGTTTCTAAACATGATGCGGTTATTCTAATCGTCAGTAGCCGAACATATTTCGAACTCCTTTCGGGATATTCTGTTCTGCTGCGAATGAATGATTTGGTTTAGCGATAGGTTTGGTATTTGTTGCAGCCTTTATGAGTTTGAATGAGTATTGTTGGTCGCGCCCAGATACCAATGGATCACCGGCTGCTTCCGCGAGAGTCCATTGCTTGGAGGAATCAAGATTATTTAGTTTCCTGTGGTACTTAGGTGTAAAAGTATTGCCTTCAATAAACCCTTCTACAAAGGAGTATTAAACATGACCGCAAATCAAAACAGCGCAGTCGCTGAGCCCTGACGAAGGCATTCGGGCAGATTTAACCATAAACGATGACCGTGATGACTTATGAGGGATACATTACGGTGTAAATTTACCGGCACAGTTCAACAGCCAGCATGTATTTTGGTCTACTTCGGTACGCTTTGTTACGCCCAATTATTACCAATAAGGGTGGCGATTAAGGCAGCAACTTGCGATGATGTGCTGACCAGAAAAAAATTCACAAACACCAGATGCAGAGCTTGAAATATGAATAAGCTACATTAATGGGGTCCAACCATTCGTCGATCCAAACAGGTGATGAAGAAAACAAATAAAAGGGCAGCTAGTGTTATTTTTTCGTACTCCTGGAAAAATTACAAAGAATCGAGTACAACATTGACAAAATAGTAGTGCTAACCCAAAAAACGTGAGGCAGATGATATGAAA